GGGGGGGGGCACAGTTGCGCTTTTGTGTTGGGCGGGCGTCATGTAAGCAGGTGGGTTCATTGGCTCTTTCTTCATCTTGCTCGCTCTGTCTGGGGCCGGGCCAGCCACTTTTTGTCTGACAAAGGAAGAGACACAACCAACCGAGCGAGACATTTCGTTTGCTGCACCATCCATCCATCCATCCATTTGACTCCATCAGTCAGTGCAACAAATCGGCGCGAACACATCAGTACTGGACCAGGCCAGCAGGCCGCCAATCAACAAACAGCACGAGAAACCATGGCCCACACACTGGCCTCCAAGGACGTCAGGCAGGGCTACTTGTTGAGGATCCACTTGTCCTTGAGCTCCTCGAGAGGCCTCCTTGGCTCCTGCCACGACCATATGAGCATACTGGTGGGGCTGTAGGGCGGCGCCACATCCAGGGGCGTCCTGCCTTGGTTGTCTGCCGTCCCCAGCACCTCACCCACTCCCACCCGGGCCATCCGGAAGGTGGTCGACTTGCGCTTCACCCTCTCAGCTTCAGCTCCCCTCTTCTCAGCCACATCCACATCGTCATGTCTCCCTCCGTGTCTCTCTTGTTCATCGCCTCTCTGCCCTGTTGCCCTCTGGTGTGCTTTGTGCAGCTTGTCGAACATGACTCCAAGGGCCGCGGCGAAGTCTGCATCGCCCTTCTGCACACAAGAACCACAAGACATCGGTCACGAGACAAGGGGAGGGAGGTATACGAACATTGTAAGTATTGTGTGGAGACCTTTGCAGCGATGTGTGCTGCCGTGGAGCCATTCTCGTCCTGCAGCAGCGGGTCTGCTCCCAGCTCAATGAGCACGCCTGCAGCCCTTGCCCGGCCGTTGGCGCATGCGGCCATCAGGGGCGTCCAGCCGGCATCGTCAGTGTCAGTGGTCGGTATGGCATTGCCCGGTTGCGTGGGAGAGAAGGCCCTGAAAGAGGTTGCACCAGAATAAATGTCCTGTCTCTCCCTCTCTGTCTCGCCTCAGGTGACCTGCTGTTGACGTCACATCCCCCCTGCAGGTGGAGCGTCCGTATGACCTCCGCATGGTCCCCCTCCGCAGCCAAGTGGATCGGCTGACGCCCCTGCACCGAACCGTGCACACACATACACGGATTGGATGAAGACATGCGACTGCCGACACACCCGTGTGTGTGCCACGTACTCGCAGAGGCAGTGCGTGTGGTCGCGTGAAGATCGACCGTATCAGCGGCATCCTCTGCCCAAGACACTCGCCGACGCGCGGGATCCCAACATGGTCGTCACACTTCTCCGGCTGCCCCTCTTTCTCGTCTGTGTCGCCATTTCTCGGCCTTGTCAAAGGTTGGAACTGGATCGGAGCTTTCCTCTTGATGAGGTGCCGCAGAAACAAGACCCTGCCGTTCTGGGCTGCATAGTGTGCTGCCAGCCATCCGGCGGGGCTGAGCCGACTCAGCTCAGCGTTGTCCGACCTGTTTCGACGGACAGACGAGACACAGATTGCAGCCAGCAGAGAGACAGCGCATTGGCGAGCCGCTCACTCTTTAAGGTTGGCGAGCCGCCTCGTGTCTCCTTCACGAGCAAGGTCCCACACAATGAGGCGACCCTCCTGCACAAGACGAACCAAGACACCAAGCCAGGAGACTCACTGACTGCCCAGTGTCCAGCACATCGTTCATTTCCTACCCAGATGGCCCCGACATCGTCATAGATAGCAACAGTGGGCGGCGGCCGGCCAGAGGAATTCGCAATGGCCAAGTAGATGGCAAAGGTGTTGCCTCTCGAGTCGCTGTGGCTCTGCAGCAGTGTCCGGTCGGCGTCAAAGTGCAGGAACAGTGCGGCCGCATGCAAGTGCTGCCCGATGACGGCGAGGTGCAGGCCGCAGTGTCTGTGCCGGTCCATAGCGTAGCCGTCTGTGTGGGTGCGCTCCTTGTCTCCTGGCTGCCGCATCGGCTGGGAGGGTATCGTGGCGGGGGGGACGGGTCGACGACTGGGGTCATCTGCATGGCGAGAAAGGAACCACTTGATCGCCTCGCAGCACCCGGCCTGACAAATGATCAACGCAAGCAAAAAAGTGTGTGGATACGGCAACGAAGTCCGTGCTCTCTGTTTGTGTGCCTCACCTCCGCAGCCATGAGCAGGGGTGCTTTCAGGTCGGCGTCCACCTCTTGCAGGTCCGCATACTCGCGGCACCTGAGAGGCGCGCTCAACAAGCAGTCCTGGCTCCCGAGCTGGTTGCATCTTGCCGCCAGGTGGAGGGGCGTGCGGCCCCGCATCGTCCTTGCAGGCAGCCGCAGGGCCGACGTGGTCTGGACAGGCGGCCTGCTGCCTTGCGTCTTTTGTGTGTATTTGGGGTCAACCTCGAGGGAGCGACGGTCGTGGAGGTGGTAGAGCAGCCGCTCGAGCTCCTGCACCCTCCCCATCGACGCAGCCAGGTGCAGCCCCGTCCATCCGCTTTTGTCGGTCTGGAGCACGTCAGTGTCGGGGTAGTCGAGAAGGTACTCATCTGAGAATGAATAAATGGAGACACACATGCACTTTGTTTGCCAGAGAGCCCTCATGTCGATATATCTTTGCTCCAGCAATCCTTCTCCTTACCCAGTGCCTGGAAGTTGCCCTGCAGGACCAGCGTGCGGACCGCATCGCTGCCCAGCCTCTCCATCTTGGCTGCTGTGGCACTGCCCTCAACACTCTCGGCGATGCGCATCATCTTGCCCATCGAGCTGTCCGAGAGGACATAGCGGGAGAAGGGCGAGGCCGTGAGGGTCTGGAGTATCTGGGCGGCGATGGGGTTGTGGCAGAGCTGCGCGTGCTCCAGCAGATGGCTGTTGCGCACCGTGACGCGCAGCACCTGCGGGCGGATATGGGAGACACGATCGACCATCAGATGGAGGACAAGCTTTAAGGTTTTGTTGCTCGAAGTGAAGTACCTCTAGAGCCCGGAGTTGGTAGTGCTGGTCGAGGTCTGTCAGTTCTTGGTGCGACATGAGTGCCGCCAGCTTCAGCAGCTTCCCCTCTGCCTTCCTCGCAAACAACAGCGACTCCCTGACAGACAGGCACACACGGACCGAGAGAAAAAGACACAACCACATCCAATCTGCACCTCTGTGTGCCGGGACCACATGCTTACCTGCCGACCAGCCTCTCCATATCCCTCGTGTCCTTGACCCCTCTCAGCAATGGACAGCCGCTCCCCCCCGTCCGCAAATCGGACGGCCCAGCCTCGCCCGCCGCACCATAAGCAAGCGGTGGGTGCAGCAGTGTGGTGAGCATGAAGGCCAGGGCGGTGTTGCAGCCCGGGTAAGTGTTCTTGATGGCGAAGTGAATCGGGAGGAAGTGACGACAGTCGGGAAAGAGGATGAGCGTGTCGTAGCCATCGGAGACGTCACTGTAGAATGTCGAGATGACCTGCCGGACGGCTTGGGGGTCAAAGAGGTCGGACGCTCCTTTGACCTGACACACACACACACACACATATTTCAGCCAGGCAATAGTCGGCGTGTCTCTCTCTCTCTCTCCCTCCCTCCCTGTCTCTCTCTCTCGTCCTCTGTGCGTATGCAAACCAATTTGTTGTGTGTGTGTATTTTCCGCATGGCGAGTTTCACCGCCCGAAGCCACAGATGGCCCAGGATGACACGAATGCAGGGCGTGTCACCGCTGCAGTGCACACACGACACCGATCCTTCAATGAATACATCAACAGCCAGGCGGGCCGCCCACCGGTATCCGGCGTAGTGCATCGGCGCGCGGCCGTGACGGTCAGGTGGCGAGAGAGGCGAACCGACAGACAGCAGTGCATCGCACGCCGCTGCGTCGCCCGAGAAGGCCGCATGGTGCAGAGGGAGACGGAGGGCGCTGCCATCCTCCTACCGCACACACGCATTCATTGACGTGGTCGAGCAGAGTTGTCTCGAGGTGGCACACTGACCTCCACCAGCTGTTTTGCGGTGTAAGTGGCTTTGTCATCCCCCCTCAAATCCGCCTCGTGGATCTTCTTGCAGATGTAACGGACCCAGTTGGTCCTCTCTGCACACAAACAACAGCATCCACATAGAGACAGACATACAGAAATGGCTGGCTGGCTGGCACATTGCGAGTGTACCTTCATGAGCCGTGCTGAAGAGGTTTGGGGATGTAGTGTGCGCCGGTCTGTCGATGACCAGCGGCGGGATGGCTTCAAGGATCTCTGCCCTCCCCTCAACGTCTGCATCCTCTGCAGCCACACCCCTGCCCGCTGGTGCCTCAGCAACAGCCCCTTCTCGAGTGGCCGTCTCCCTCTTGTCGATGGCTGTGCCGTCGAGCAGATCTTGAAGTGCTGCTGCATCCCTCTCAGCTGCGGCAGCCTCTGGCGTCCTCTGAGAACTATGGCCCTTGCCAAACAGCCCGGCCAGCGCCGCGTCATCGGCTCTCTCCCTTCGTCCATCAGCGGGCTCTTCTGTTCGTCCATCACTCGCTTGAATCAGATGCCGTGGGGCGGTTTCCTTTGGCGCCTTGGGCGGTGCTGAAGGGGCGCTTTTGTCAGCCAGAAGGGACGTCAGTGCATCGTCGTCGGTGCGGCTTCGGGGCGGCTGTCGAGTGTGCGGCTGCCGAGGGTGTGGGGGCTGTGGTCGCAGAAGGGCTGCGAGTGCTGCGTCGTCGGCAGCTCCCGCCGCTATTGGTGCCGCAGAAGGTTGAGAAGGCGCATCCATGCTTACATACGCGGCGGACACTTGTGGGTTAACTTTGCGAGATGATTTCGACCCAATCATCGACCCATTCGCTGACGCAGAAATTCACGATGACTCATGAATGAATGATGCACATGCACTGAGAGAGACACATGCATGTATGCAGTGCCACCAACCAACATCGATCTCTACAAATCGGACCTATCCTATGCAGCCATGAACTCATCTCATCTCATGACACTCACTCACTGTAGCCATTAATGTGTGTTGCAGGTCTGCAGAGAGACACACACAACTGCCACGACGAACAGATCTAGCTAGCTGGCCAAGCAAGGCAGGAACGCTCAGGCTCCCCGGCTAGGCTACCCATACACACCAACACGGCTTACACAGTCGTCAATCGACTCCATGGGACGGACGGAGGGAGGGAGGGAGAACAGCAAGCCCCCACAGACAGACAGGCATACAAACAGACGACAAACAAACGATCCATCACATCGATCACCGTTCGTTCGTTCAAAAAGGCAACAAACAGAACACTTAACACTAACTGCATCTTCGTCGGCTCATGGTCTTCTGGACAGTCAGCCAGTCAGTCGAGTGTGGTCGTGAGGTGACTCGATCAATCCATCCATCCATCCATCAGACGGGTGGCTCGGGTGTTGCCTCGTCCTCCAGCGCCTCAATCACTCGGTGCCACACCGACATCAGATGCTCCAGCCCGCCCAAATAACCTACACACGCACACGCAGACACGCAGATCAGATGACGTCATTAATCTCAGTCAGTCGTTGACCGCTCACCTTCGTCGAGTCGATCGGTGCCGGCGGCGACGTGTCCGAAGTCGATCATCCTGACGTCTGCCGACTCGACGGGGCTGTCCGCCGCACCGTCGTACACGTACAGCAGAGACGAACTGTAAAACGACCAGTGACGCTGACATGACAAGGGAGAGACACAGACACACACAAAGACACAGACAGACAGACGGCCACACAGGTTGTCGGCGTGGGTGGCTCTCGTGGTGTGTGGTCAGCCCTCGTGGACCTGCACTTTGAAGAAGGCGTCCACTCGGCGCGTGCACTGCATCGTCAGACACAGCACGCCACGCAGAGGGACAATCGCTCCCTCTCTCCGTTTCAGTCAGTCAGGCCATTGTTCGTTTCCTTGTTACCTCCATCAGTCTCTTTGCGATATCGATGGCTCGCTCGTCGGCCGGGCCGTCGCCACGCAGCCAACGTATCATTGCTGCACAATGACAAAAGGCACACACAGAGTCATCGCAAACGCGACAGTGGCTGTCGATTCAATATGGGCCTTCATGGTCACCTCACCTTGTGTGATCTCGTCCATAGTCTGAATGCGCTTGGCGTCCGGACGGGACAGCTCGACACTCGAGCCGTCACTCCGGTGCGCCTGCACACACACAGAGCAGAGAGAGGAGACGTGACGTTGGTGTGGATTCGGGGTTCATTCATTCTGGCTGGGCTGATATCTGACCGTGTAGGCCGTGACTGCGATGCCGTATTTGGCGGTGGTCTGCTCGTTGGCCTTTGCGATCATCTTGTCCCTCTTGGCGTCGCTGGCCTCGTCATCGTACAAGCGGTAGCCCATCTTGATGTCGCACTGGCAGGGCACCGACAGACCACCGACCAAGTTGCCCAGCTCTATCAGACACTGAATGACCACACACACACACATACACACACATAGAGAGGGGATTGGATTGCAGACAGCAGATCGTCTTATTCTCGAAGCGCACATGGTGGCCGTCGCTCACCCGTTTCGGCCTGCCCTCAGTGCCGTTCTCTTCTCGGTCCTCTTCGTCTTCGTCAGTCTGGACGTGCGAGAGCCCCTTGGGGTTGAGGTCGATGTAGTAGCAGGGCGGGGTGAGCATGACGAGCTGCCTGGCCCAGTCGACCTCCTCCATCCGCAGCACCAGCTCCTCAGCACCCTCCGTCCACACACCCTGAACTGCACTCACACACGAGCACAGCACAGCACAGACACACCTGTTGTGTGTGTGTGTGTGTGTGTGTGGTCGTACCAGTGGGTGCGTTGATTCTGTAGTCAGGTTCGCTTGGGAGGGTGGTGGGGCTGTCGGTGTAGTGGGAGGGGGTGAGGGCCATGCGGTATAAACCACGGTAAAACTCAGCCTCCTTCGGCAGACACAACTGACGCACACACATAGAGAGAGACATTCGCGCAGTCGTCTCTCTGCGGTGCATACTTCGCCAGCTGACCTTGACCACTTTGGCGTTGTCCCCTTTCGATTCGTCCCCCTCGTAAACGAAAAACGAGTCCGGATGACCTCCCAACTGAGCCTGCACCACACAAACACACATAAAGGGTCACCTCTCCACTACATCCCTTCCTCTCCCTCTCACCATTTGGCTGGCCGTGACAGGCACCAGCTTCCTCTCCCTAATGGTGTCGTTCATCTCCTCCCCGTCGTTGTTGCCCTCGTCAAGACAAAACGACAGGTCGGCCGCCACATCCTTGGGCGACTCCTCCACAGGCGAAAAAGGCGTGTTGGGCGGCGGCGGTGGGCCCGGCAGCGGCGAGTTGGACTCGCCAGGCGACGGTGCTTCTGCCCCAGGCGCGAGAGCGACGATGCGGGGCAGCCCGTTGATGTCTGCAACGAGTGGCTCCGGCCTGGGGGGCGCCTCGCCGCGGCTGGGTCGTGTGGAGCGTCGAGTCCTGGGCGCCGCGGCTGGAGGAGGTGTGGGTGTGGGCTCGGCCTCGGGCATGGGTGGGGGAGGGGGAAGGGGGACGAGGGGGCTGAACAGCTCGTGCACCTGCTCCAGCTTCTTCACAAGCTGATCAACGGAGAAAAGGTATCGGCTTTGACTTGAGCAACCCGTGCATGTCCGTGCGTCACCATTGAAGAGTACGACGGGTGTGGGTATCTCCTCATGTCGCCCTCATCCCGCAGCACCCGGTGCGCGGGGAAGCCGCCTGATGATCCATGGGTGCAGATGGACACACAACAGATTATTGACATCATCTAAACCACATGGCCGAGCAGAGCACCCTGTGTGCTGTCTGTGTGTTACCTGTCCATGGTTCTAGCGACGACAGGTGGAATGTCTCTGCTGTGAGTGCGGGGTCTCTACCGATCGGCTTCAGCAACGCCTTGACGGACGCGATCGACGCCTCAGACAGCATGGACAGATTGTAGCCGCCCTCCAACACTGCAGCACACACACACACACACAGATAGCATCACACGTGTCATTCTCTGTCATGAAATGTCATGTGTGGTGTCTGTCTGTGGTTCTCGCCGACCAAGTATGACTTTTCCGTCCGCGTAAATCTCCGCGAGGCGGCACATCTGCTCCGTCATCCAGCCGAAGAACCCGGGACTCACATGACACTCACCTGCACACACACACACATGGACCCACACCATGCCCAAACCAGCCCAGCCCATCTCTCGTCCCGCGTATTATATGGCCGATCGCTCACTCACCGAGGGGATCGAGCTCGACAGCGTCCATGCCGTGCGACACGACGAAGAGGTCCGGCTGGAGGTGGTGGACGAGAGGCACGATGACGTGCTCGAAGATGGCGTACATGTCGGTGTCGTCGTAGAGGTAGTCCAGGGGCACGTTGAGCGTCGCCCCAAACCCCTCGCCCTCGCCCATCTCGTCCATGTCGCCCGTATTCTGATCAGGCAGGCAGACAGGCAGACGGACAGACGAAGGGATTCCCATTTATGCAGATCTGCCCGTGGTAACGGTGGGTTGCTGTGTTGGTCGTCTGGCTTGGGCTTGGCTTACGGGGTAGAAAAAGGAGTATCGGTGTGTGGAGCAGTAGAACACGTCGGGGTCGGTCCAGAAGATGTTCTGGGTGCCGTTGCCTGACACACACACACACACACACACACACACACGCGGCATACACTTGACCTGCCATCCGTAGCGGGTGTCTCTCTCTCGGCAGTGAGTACCGTGGTGCACGTCCCAGTCGAGTATGAGGACCTTCCGAGCGCCGTGTTTGGTGCGAGCATACTGCGCACCAATGGCGGCATTGTTGAAGAGGCAGAATCCCTCAGCCTGATTGGCACTCGCGTGGTGACCTGAGATGAGACCCCACACACCGCACGACACACGGATGAATACATTTGGGCCAACACAAACAAAGAGTGTCGTCAGTTGGTACCAGGGGGTCGCATGACGACGTAGCCCTTGGAGATGGGCGACGACTGATCGTACACCTGACACACACGTGGAAAACAGAAGGGAGGGAGAGATAGAAGGATGTATACGTCTGCGAGATGAGAGCAGTGTGTCCAAGTAAGTCATCTCACCTCATCGCAGAGCGTCAGGACCGCCCCAGCCGCCCGCAACGCCGCCTCGGGGGTGTACTTGCACACAAACGTATCCGCCCTGATATAGGCACACACACACACAGGTAGGGGCGGCAGAAGAGCATGCAGATGCATGTGAGAAATTTCGGCGGTCTCTGTCAGTCAGCATACCCGAATGGGTATATCCACGGCTTCTTCTTAGGCATCACCACAAAGTTCTGAAAGCACCACAGAGAGCACAGGGAAGGCTAAAGCGGCATAACAGCCTCGCTGACGCGCCGTACATGTGATCGACCCACCTCTTCTTCGTCGACCAGATCTTCCTCGGTCGCCTCCTCAGCTGCCGATGCTGAGGGCTCCTTCGCCTCCCCCTCTCCCTCTCCCTCCCCCTCCTTCTCCTGGAACAGCCCCAGCACTCGGTCCACATGGCGCTCGGTGTGGCACAACATCACATCTTCCTTCGTCGCACACCTGAACAGACAGACATACACCAACCGCAGCACAAGACACACGGACGACAGGCAGATCATGCGCTTGACGACTGGCTGGCTGGCTCGCCTCTCCCCTTCGCTGTCTACCTGGGCGTGAGCTGCGTGGTACGGCTGAGGAGGCCGCTCTCTTCCAGGCCGTTCATGATGGCCTGCACACGGGAGGGACTCTCCACATGAGGCGGACCTGCGTGACACACACCACACGAAGACCCAAAACCATGCGCTTCAGATCTCTCGTGTGTGTCCGCCGCGCCCCCCTTTCTTGCCTGCGTGCTTGAGAACGAACGGGTCGTACACCACGGCAACCGACGGCCTCGCCGCTCTCCCCGCCTCCACGGGTGACGCGCCGGATCTCTCGTCTGACGTGCTCATCGCCTTGAGTCTGTCCGCCAGAGAGGCAGCCAGCTGTTCACCCTCAGCAGGCTCTGTGGACGCCATCGTGAGCGAGATGAATGAATGCCAACAGATCCGAGCACTTCGGGGTTTTTTCTTTCCAATCCGACTGACGGACCTCTCAACACCCAACAGAGTGCTACAGGCCGCGAGTGCTTTCGCCACACTTCGCAAACTTTTCGAGCTCGCAGATCGGTGGCGACGTGGAGAGGAGGCGAGCGCAGGCACCCGTGTGCAGCATTGAGGGGCGACCGAGGCCCCCCTTTGTGCCTGCTGCGCCTCAAATCGATGGGTCGAATGACAGACTTCGTCGCGTCCCGTCCGTCCTGAGGTACTTGAAGGCAGAGAGAAGGCGAGTTCGCCATCGGTGGCGCCCTCATTGCTGTGTGTGTGTTTGTGTGTCAGGGAGGGCCGTGAGCATCGGTCAATTAGCCTCCTCAGAGCGAGAGGGCCTCGATTGGAGTTCTCATCGGAGCAGACAGAGGCCAAGCCGCTGCATCAGATCTACATCTAGCCATGGAGGGCGATAGACAGGTGAGACGCATCAGACCACTGGTTGCAATGGATGGCGCATTTCACCACCCGGGGGTCGGCTGTGTTTGTGCGATGGGTGTATGTTTGCAGGTCAAGAGGACTCGTCGTGGTGATGATGCACCGGCTGCTGCTGCGACTTCGTCTGCATCTTCATCGGCCGCTGCTGCATCTGGTGGTGGTGGTGGCAGTGAGAGTGGCGGGGAGCGGCAGCGGCGGGCTGAGAGGGAAAGAGCCTTGTGTGAGAAGATCAGCGGCACGGTGAGCCAGCCACACACACTAAGGCGATTCCGGCTGTATCTGTGAATGGCTGCGTGTGTTTCAGGAGGGGCTTCTTAGCTACATGATGGCCTTGCTGCCCATCCACCTGATGGTGCAGCTGGCCAAGTCCATCTGGCAGCACGCCGCACCCCACCTCTCGGACGTCACCATCAGCTCGGCAACCAAGGAGGAGCGGTCCTTTTGGCAGCACGTCCATCTCGCCTTCGTCACCCAGCTGGCCGCCCGACTCAGGCGCCTCACAACCATCACACTCCGATACCCCATCGGCGCTGCTGACTGGTGTTTCGACGTCTTTGTGGCCATCATCGAGGGCCACATCGCTGGCCGACGGGCAGCCAATCTGGGCCGCGGGACTCTGCAGACCATCACCATGCAAGGTGTTCGGCTGACCCGCCCCTCTCGAGACCATCGAGGGTCTGCACCGCGACCATCGGCAGTTGGCCAGCCGACGCTGGCTGATCCCCTCCCTCACCACCGCGCAGCAACGGGGTTGGGACGCCGGCAGCCTGGGCCAGTTCATCAGCTCCTCCCGCTCCCTGCGGCGTGTGGACGGCAGCTTTGGGGGTGAGGACTGGGCGGGTGTGTTTGAGGGCATCCCTGCGGCACCTGCTGGGCAGCAGGGGGGGCCACTCGCCCAGCTGGAGAGCATCGGCACCATCGAGATCGATGACAATGAGGCGGCGGGCATAGATCGGCTTCAGGTGACAACAACGCACAGGACAGCAGGGTCTTGGGGCTGGTTCATGATCACTCATATTGGTGTGTTGGTGCCTTCAGGAAGTGCTCGTTGCGCGTGGCTGCCGACGGTCACTCACACAGCTGCATGTCGACTTTGCTGCGCATTTGCGCATTGGTGACATTAACGTCATCGGCCGCCGCACCCTGCCCGTCCTGCTGGCCCTAGACCGGCTGCTCACCACCTGCTGCCGACCAGACGCCCCTCTCACGCTCACCACCACCAGCTGTCTCGAATTCGACCTCTCCATCTTCTACCACAACGCCTTCCCCACCCACCCCTCACCCTCATTCAAGACCATGACGCAGCAGCTGGCCCGGCAGGCCACATCGGTGGAGTACCTCTTCACCCAGGACGGCCTCACCGACCCACACACCGACCCGAGCCAATCGGCCATCGACATTGCGTCGACACTCTCATTCGACGAGGCCACGGATGTGAGGGTCGAGAATGCCCGTGGCTTCCACCCCCCGGCCAACATTCCCTCGCCCCACCCCACCATCATCACCCACCTCAAGCCATTCCCGAAAGCCTCACGGCTGCATGTCTGGAGCGACTTTGGTGGTGCTGCGGGCCAGCTGATGGCCGCCAAGATGCCCGAGGAGGTGCGGGTGGTGAGCGTGTTGGGTGGTGTCGAGAGGGTGGGCGTGTTGACGGCGCTGGGGAGGGAGAGGGAGGTGAGTGAGGTGGAGATGGGGAAGGTCGACGTCGACCAATTAGACCAACTGCTGCTGGGGGCGGCCGATAGCTTGCCTACCATCTCGGGACTACATTTCGCCATGACACGTACGCCGAGAGAGGATGGAAGCATGTCGTTATGCCCTCATTTCTGCCTCGTGTGTGTTCCCTCCCCTTCAGTGCCCGCTGATGTGAATGAAGCGGGCAGCTTTGTCCGCGCCCGCCTCTCGTCGGTCATCCCGCACATCAGGGGCCTTCAGGGCGTCACACTGCGTGTCCAAAAGACGACAGCTGAGCAGCATGATTCCATCCTCGCTTCCCTCCCTGTGGGCGCCAACGTCGGGGGCTTCAGCGTCCGAAGCACCTTCGGGTCGGCAGGCGTATGGACGAGAATTGCTGCAGTTCGGACGCCTGAGGCAGACGGGCTGGTTGTCTGACCTCTGTGCGTGTTGGTGGTGGTGTCTGTCAGGCCGCCCATTGTGTGTGGTGGATTATTCGTAGCAGACGGGCAGTGGGGCCATTCTTAGCCGACGACACTTATGTGCTGCATGGCATAGCTGCGGGCCGTGTGTGTGTATGACTGACTGGGTAGTGTACAGATTGACGGACGGACGGACGGGGGCTGGCTGATGCGGGCGTGAGACTTAGCACATCACACATACACACACTACTGTCGCGTGTGGTGGTGCTGCATCGACTGACTGACTGACTCACTCACTCACTTGTCTGTCTGTCTGTCTGCCTGGCTGCCTCCTGGCCTGCCTGTTTGTATCGATCGCTCCTTGCTGCTGTCTGGCCTCTTCCTCTCCTCCCTTCCTCAGTTCAGTGGCCGGGAGGAGTGGATGGACAGCAGCAGCACAGGGGAGATGGGCAAGCGCGGCAAGGCAAGGCACACACACGGTGGGTAGGCAGATTCAAGTGTCAGGGCTGAAAGAGGATAGACAGCAGACGGGAGGGGCCCACACAAGGCGACGTGTCTGCCGATACCCTTGGTGAGTCCAGACAGACAGACAGACAGGGTGGACGTCTTCGATGGCTGGGCGTGTTGCCTTTCATTATTCGTCTGATGGACGGCTGTGTGGGATGTGTGTGTGCGCGATGAGAGAACACCCACATATGGGAGCCACAATTGACAGCACAGCTCATTCAATGCAGTCCACTCACACTCCACTCACACTCACACGAGCCTCCATTCACGCTGAGAGCCGAGGTGCTGCATATCCGGCTGTGTGTCTTCACAGAGCCACTCACCCACCCACCCACCCACCCATCCATCTACACGCTGCCCCGACGCCATTGCACTGCACATGCGGATGTGTTTGTGTGTGCGTGTGGGTCAGCCGTGGAGCCGACATGCGCACAGCACACACCAAAAAACGATCAACGCAATCGGCGGACGTACGGACGGACGGACGGACGGTGTGTGTTTGTGTGAGTGTAAAGACATGGAAGACGCTGATATAAACACACACCACATTCAACATACCTGCGTATCGGTCTTTGCGCTCTATGCCCGCCGCCGTAGCACCCGCCCGCCACTCAGCCACCAATCATGACACCACTGCCCAGCCCAGCCTGACACACACATCGAGTGACTCCAGGGCAGGCAGACACATAGGGAAGTGTGTGTGTTTCAAATTAAGTGGAGTCTGTTTAGAAAACAACGGCGGCGATATTTTGCTGACTTGATGACTCAATTATAGTCTTGATTTCGCTCTTGCTGTTGGTCCCATATAGTCTTATGATTGGCTGCCCTGTCTGTGTGGATCTGTGGATGCGTGGATGTGTGGGTGACAGGACGTTTCTTTTGGCCCTGAGAGAGACTGACTCAAGTGGCGCCAGAATGGCTGATAAATCAACTGATGGACAAGACCAAGACCGGGTTTCACTCTATAAATCATTCCACCAAGTAATCTGTGTCGAAAGCAAGTCACTTGTATCGGAAAAAGTATAGTATTCAAGCAAATCTACTCCCACACACATGCAGAAAGACTCAACTCAAAGTGACGACAGACAGCCTCATACGTGATCCATCCAGACGACCCACACACGAAGAGAATCCAAGAGAATCCCTCTCTCCACTATCCCCATTTCCACCCTTAGACTGTCACTCTCCCGCCGTCGATGACCTCTTTCTCGAGCCCGAACCGCCCCAGCACACGACGGAAAAGGCCCATCGATGTGGGCAGACGCTCGTCCAGAGGACACGATGCCGACGCCGCACATCGCTCGGTGGTGTAGAGCTTCAGGTTCCCGCAGTACAGCTTCATGTAAGCCGCAATGGTGTCGTCAGGACGAAAGCCGCTCACCATCACCACACGTTGGTATGTGACCGACCCGCTGTCGTGAAGCCGGCAGCCCACTGCGAAGACATCCTGGCCAGTCAGCCCATCACTCATCAGCGAGAGGTAGCGATCGTCGCTGACATCAACGCGTCCCCTGAGCACCATTCTGTGTTCCAAACAGTCGCATGCAGCCAAGCGACGGACCAGCCTCCATACCAGAGCCGCCGAGAGAGAGGGAAAGAGATAGAAACGGGTGTCATCCATGCGGAGGTGGACAGCGGGATCGTGTCGGTTGTAGCCCACCTCATACGGATCATCACGCTGCAACCGATAATCATCATCATGCTGCACCCGATCACCTCCACCCATGCCTTCTCCTTTCGCCGGTGGCAGTATCTCTCTGCTCAAGCTCAGTCGACGTCTGATCAAAGAGAAGGACACGACCTCCATCAGAGACAGGTCCTCGGCGGCCGGCTTCGTGCGCAGATGAGCGGCCATCCACCGGGCCGAGACCACTAATGGCACTGCCTCAGGAGCCATCAGCCGGTAGATGACGGCCAGTCTGAGGAACACAGCGATGTTCCGCCAGCCGCTGCCGCCCTGCTCGAGCATGAGAGCGCAAACAGATAGCTGAAGCGCCTCGGAGGGCTGTCGCGAGCCCACGGCATCACCAGTCGGCAGACGAAGACGACAAGGCCGTCCGGAAGGCAACCACCAAGGCCACCCACTCCGTAGCTGCGGTCGACGTCGATAAGGCCATGGAGGGAGTTGCGGGTCAGAGAGGCGTCAATGCGGCCCAGCAGTAGATCAGCCGTGACGACGGAAGTAGAGAAGACAGGGGAAGTGGTCCGCAGCGCCGCCAGACCAGCCACCGGAAGGTAGGGAGTCACGCTTTGGCGCCATAGCTCCAGGGGCACCAGATCTGCCATCAGACGTCCCTTTTCTCCTTGCTCAGCTGCGCTTGGTTGGTTGGTTAAGGGTTTGACGAGACACCTGTCCCTAAGCCCGGCGCTACCTTCCGGCGCAACCAGGCATCTTCTCTGTCCACAGCACACACCAAACAGGCAACAGGCACATGCAGAATGCATGC